TACAATTTCCCGCTAAACCGGAAGTCGAGTTTTGGTTTCTGAGTGCCATGCCGAACCGGAAGTCGAATTTTGGTTTCTGAGTGCCATGCCGAATGACTGTTTCACGCCGAATGAAATTTCAATAATGACTGTTTCACGCCGAATGAAATTTCAATAATGACTATTTCACGCCGAATGAAATTCGAATAACATAATATCGAATATCATAATAGCATAACTGAACTTCATAAATGCATTTCCAATGGCATAATTGAATATATGAATTTTGGCGGATATCACACCTCATAAAATACATGAGTAAAAATCTCGCATCTTGTAGCAAGTCTGCCAACAAGCCGTCAACAAATTGTGTTCGCACTGCTTGTCACAAGTTATCAACAAGTTTGGAACAAGCTGTTAACAACTTATAACAACCTTGTTGATATTATCAGGTGTTATATACATGCATGATATAAGCAATATCATGTAATTTTACACATATTAAATATTATACCATATACTTATTCATATTAAATAGGTTACGTCTTGACCACAAATAACGTCAACGGAAATTAATACGGTCTGAGAACACATGTGACAAAATCATATGACTAAAGGTCCATACAGACCGAACGCGATTCGACAACGCGACGCGACTTTTCAGTTTTTAAAAACAAATAAAACCTTCAAAGGATAAAAAGTTTACAAGATATGCAGACCCAAATAGCTAAAATTGCTTAAGTGGTTCCGAATATTTGAAAAACATAGGAAAAAATATTGAAGTTAATTGTCATTGAAAATTGAAAATTCGCGTCGCATTGCCAAATCGCGTCCGGTGTATTATCTGAAATTGTTGGCTTAGACATTCCCCGCCGCGCTGTAAATTTCCGCAAGCAACACTTAAAGTCTTAAACGCTTCTGGTGACGCACACGAAAACAATGCGATATATACCTTTTTCATCTCATCAGAAGCGATTAGCGGTCCTGCAAAATCTATTCCTATATTCTGAGAAATGGTGGCGCTTTAAAGGCTAGTTTCCACTCAGGAATTATCCGTGGATTGGAACGGACAAGAAAATTTTTCTTTCTCTTGTGAGCTCTGGGTTGGAACTAATGAGTTTAATACAAAGAAAAATTTTCTTGTCCGTTCCAATCCACATGCAGATAATTTTCCTGAGTGGAAATTAGCCTTAAGTCACCCGAAACTCTGGTATAGTGGCATAGTGCTGCTGTTGCTGGCCGTTTATATATGATTTGCCTATCAGTCTTTTGCAAGTGATTTGGTTCAAAATCTTTTTGACTATATCTCTGCATGTTCTTTGCTATTAAAATCTTGACTTTAATTCCGCTATTAAACGTCGATCTAACACCGCAGTGGTGGCCTGCTTTTATGACCGAACAAGTTTTGGCAGAAAAATCGGTTTCTGGACATCTAATTCCTAATCCTAGTTTTCGAAACAATTGCTTATAATTATCTTGTTCTTTCAATTCACACTGCATGGGTGTGTGTTAGTGTATTAGAATACAAATAATGATTGTTTATGAATGCAATGGTAGGAATATTTAATGAAGTGAAAAGATGGAATGTTTCATTCAACGAGGCGACAGCCGAGTTGAATGGAACATTCCATCTTTCACCGAATGAAATATTCTTACCATTGCATGAATAATCATTCATTATTCGTTTTATATAATACCAAAATAGACTAATAGATTCGTATGAGAAGCATTTTGACGGATGCGATTTATCGAAAACACAAAGAGTGCAATGGAATAAAACATATAGTACAATTGCACTCGCAAAGAGTGCAATGGAACCGATTCCATATATTGCACTCTTGGGAAATGGAATTTTTTATTCAATATCACGTGACTATATAAACAGCCAATTAAACGATCAGAATTCAATAAGGTACTATATAATATAAAATGTATGTAGAATGGTTAGTTTGATTGATTGATTGTAAAAGATTGTTTGGATAAAGGAAAATTGGGAAAAGGAAATACAATCCCATGCATGACGTTGGTATAATCTTAATCTCGACAACGTTGACAGATAGGCCTAAAAACATCCCTAAATCAGGGGTTAATATTATATTACGCGGAAACAGTTGTACATACGGTAAATATAGCAGAATAATTAGAAATCAAACACGATCATTTTATAGAATACATGCACACGATTTAAACTGACAACCATATACATATGAGTTCGATTAATTTCATGATCTATATATAATAGGGCATCCTACTTTACACTCTCTGCTTGCCTAGTTTTTCCATTTTTTGATTTTTACCAATTTTTTGCCTAAAATTGGAAAACTTATGAGATTTTGTTCCCAGGCACAACTGGTCTCATTTGGAACCCTGTCTTATTTTGTGTCATTCCATTTTTTTTCACCTCATAATTTGCATAAGTATTTCCCTAACTTACCACAGGAATTTCCCTCAGAGTGGCGCTCGTATAGCAGCCCTCGCAATGTACTGCAATGGTATTTGCTATTCTGGTGATAAAATAGTACCGGATAATGTTTCTTCTTACATATATTTTCTTTTTTTTTAGACTGTCATCATGTCATTTGAATTTTCAAGGATTGATATCTGCATACTTTTGTTTGCAGCAATAGCGGGTCAGTATTATAATATATATATTATATATTTCGGTGAATATCTTTGCACTATATTTACCTCCACTTCGGCGAATAAGTTATAAACGAGTTATAAACGAGTTATATAAATGAGTTATAAACCGAGAAGGAGGTTTATAACTGATATATTGCCCCCGAGGACGCGCAGCGTCCGAGCGCAACATATCAGTTATAAACCGACTTTCGAGGTTTATAACTCTAACTTATATCTCATTTGTGGAGGTTTTCTAACATATTTTATCATTTTCAAAAATTTTTGATGAAAAATTCTCGCGTTTTGTCGAAAAGTTTGATGTAATTATTTATTCAAGGTATATTAGCTAGTTATTAACCTCGGACGATCAAAGAAAACCGACACAAATGAGATATAATTATCATTTATAGACCTGGAGCGAGGGGGATTCGGCTTAATATTTCCCGAAGTGATGATATTTTCCGAGGGACTTTGCCCCGAGGAAAATATCATCACTGAGGGAAATATTACGCCGAATCTCCCGAGCGGAGGGTCTATAAATGATATATTATACCGAAAGTTAAAGAACTCACTAAGTTCAGAATAAACTTTAAAACTTGCTGAATATTATAAACTACGCGAATACAATTTTTAATTTCTTATGTATACCTGAGTTTATGACGTTTCCTCTTTAAAATATTTGAGCATGTATCTTTTGGGTCATTAAAGGTAACATACGTCTTGAAAATCTTTGGTTAAATCAAATCTTCTGTACGAAATTACAAACAACAGCTCGCGAACGCCATATTGTTTCAGAGCGTGGTGTCCATGCGTCACGCGTGAGCGTGGGATACTATAATATCCCACGGTGGATCTGCCATGAGATATTATAGTATCTCACGCTGCATTGCGAAATCATAAATTTGAGTGAAATACCGTAAAAAATCACATTATCACGTGGTACAAATGCTGTTTCTTCATTGGACAATTTGAATTTGAGGTATAATATTTGTTAAATATATATTCTATGCACCTACCTACAACCTGACCAACCTGACAACATGAACATGCTCTAGACTTGAAAAAATGTTTAATTAATATTCTTCTAATAGGCTATTAACCTTTTCTCCTATCTTGAAAAATCTGACTGATCATTGTGACATAATCTATTTTTAAAACATCGAATAAATATGTACATTAAATAACATCACTCAATTTCAAATGACAAATAAATATGTTTCCTTATAAGACTCAGTTCCATAACGTAGAAACGAATCATAAAAATGTTCCTCAATGTTCTTGCCTCGTATAATGTTCTTCACTCTTCAGGATCCCCTGAGCGCAATCTATTTTTCCAAGGTTTGAGTACTACATGATTGTATTCCTTATTTACGAAACCATCCTGACTTTTTTACGTTTTGTCTTTGATAGTTTCAACACAGGGAATTCCTACACAGGGGATGAATATCAAGCCTGTACCGAAACGTCAAGGTAATTAATACACATACTACTTAGGTACATTTTATGAAAAGAAGTCTACCAATGACAAGACTGGCTGTAAAATTATTTTTCCTTAATTTAGTAGAGCCAGTAGCTCAACTTAACACTTAACGACCAGTTTTTTTTAACACAAACCCTCTCAAATTTTGTCACTGGTATATTTAGAATGAAATTTAGTTGTGCGGTATATAACTGATGATCCCATTTTCCAAAACAATTTTAGCATGTTCCATCAGGAATTGTGAAAAGGTCTTCAACAAGCATGGCGATATGGTGACGACCTTCAACACTAAAAACCTGACAAAGAATTACTTTTTGGCAAAAATGACGGCTGTGTGTGACAACAAGACAGTGGACATTTGTACTGTGCAATTTTGGAAATCAAACAACGATGGAATATGCAAATTAGTGGTCAGTGCCACTTCAGGCCGTGCCAGTGTCACTGTCAACAATGGCGCGAAATACGAATCTTGCAGTAAAATACTGTTTGAGTTCTACAGGAGCGTGCATTGTGTTCAAAGTGACAATGATCACAAAGAAATGGTCGAGGCAGTAGGCAGAGGTGAGTGTATAAACTGACATTACAAGAATAAACTTGACATGTATAAACGTGTAAGTAGAACTGTTTACAACATGGAGTATAAGTGTCGCAAGACAAAACCAAGAGCTTCCCATTGTTTGATATAACACAATAAATTAAGTAAGAGTTATAAACCGAGAACGCGGGATATAAGTCATATATTTACCCGAGGGGCCGCAGGGCCCGAGGGCAAATATATGACTTCTATCCCGCGTCCTCGGTTTATAACTTGTACTTATTTTCTAGTTGAGGAGGTTCTCGAACACCGGATTTTATCAATTTCGAAGACTATCCATAAAGATTTTTCGAGTTTTGTCGACAAGTTTAATCTAATTGTTTACTCACGGGTTATAACCAGCATACATCCCTCGGTTCATGAAAGAAAACCGACTCAACTAGAAAATAATATCAATTAATTTGATCAGTAACAACAAATTAATACTTGATTATGATTATCCATCTCACTCCCCATCGGGGCTTTTCGGTGACCGTTTACATCAAGTATTACGCTTACTTGTTACTATTTAGTTTATACAACAATTGTGATATTATGCGGTTTGACATTTGTGATGTTACTCTGAGTGTATATCCAGGCCAGGCAAGCTTGAAAAATATACCTGGCCACGGTGGGAATCGAACCTACAACCTTTGGAATACTAGCCCAATGCTCTGCCAACTGAACTACGCTGTCAGGTCGGTCGAGTATGTAGCGCGTAGCTCAGTTGGCAGAGCATTGGGCTAGTATCTCTATGCTAGTATTCCAAAGGTTGTAGGTTCGATTCCCACCGTGGCCAGGCATATTTTTCAAGCTTGCCCGGTCTGGTTGTACACTCAGAGCAACATCACAAACATTATATTCACCTGAGTACACGACACACGCACGCACGCACGCACGCACGCACGCACGCAAGCAAGCACGCACGCACGCACGCACGCAAGCAAGCACGCACGCACGCACGCACATTGTGATATTACTTTCCTAACTATGTTTATCCTAACGCTATGATTTTTGATATATTAGGTCATTAAATATGTTATCTATAATTTAACTGAATGATAACAACTATCCTGTAGGGCATTCATCACCAAATCCCACCAACGCTAGTTCTACTTCAGAAGGTAGGTACCCACATTATATGTGACTTTTTTGTTTTGAGGACACCACGATTTTGTAAACCAGCATGATCAATTCTTTGTCATTTCCAATACAGTACATTCTTTGCACAATTATAAGAGCATTTAATATGCAACCTTATATTACTTATTCACAATAAATGTTTTACTTTCTCTATAGGTAAAAGAACGAAGGACCAACTACCCCCAGCTCGATCTGCAGCTCCAAAGAATACGTTATGTACTATTCTAATGCTAGCTCTCGTTTTTGTTTTATTTTAATTTTTGATTTTGATTTTTAACTCTTTACAATTGTTTACATTTAAAGTAAGTTAATAGAAAAAAGAAGTTTTACAATATTTCAAATAATGACAAAGATACATATAATAAAATCTATGACGTGACCACAGAGTAGATACATACAGAGCTGTAACTGGGCGTTGTAAACACTGCGGAAACTTACGTTTTCGTATACCAACTTTTTTTCAGGAGACCAAGCAAAAAATGATCAACTGCCCTTTGCTCGGCAACTTCCGCGAGCAGTTAAAGCGAGCCGTCATCTAATGCATCGATGCATGCATCTAGTGACTTGCAGAACATGCGCACAAAAAAGTGGGTACACTAGTTATAACTCTGTATATTATGTATCTACTCTGCGACGTGACTATGTTTCCGAATGCAACGGCAAGGAATCATTTTTTTATTTTTTCTTAAATATATTATAGGATTTAAAATTTTTTAAGTCCGTATTTAACTCGTTCCAGATATTTAAACCTTTATTGTAAAGAATAAATAATTATCAAATAGATAAATAAAATACTTAGAAAATAGTATCCATTGTATCCAAAATTACCAAAAATAGATTGTTTTAAGTATTCTTTTCTCGTAAGGATCATCACGTTGTCGGACAACTTACCAAGCTCGGTAACCTTCTGAAATGGATATAATAACTTATTTTGAAGATTTTCGTTTGCTCACTTAGTTTCTGAGATATTTCAGTTTGTTTGGTATGCAAATATCCGGAATTTATGTCACAAATGCATAATGACTTAAAGTAAAAGCTTGTATGTCGTATTCACTATCGAGTTAATTCATTAAAGTGAAGTTTTGGAGTTGTGGGGGGATTACATACCTATGTAAAACAACTGTACCTTACATTTTTCATCAAGTAAATTCCGGACTTTTGCATATCAGTAAAACTGAAATAACTCGGAGATAAAGTGTGCGAACGAAAACCTTTAAAATAAGTTACAATATCTTTTTAAAGGTTCTTAGGAATGAGATGTTAGAAGAATTGAGGTTATAGGTGCGCTTTAGGAACTTTAAGAATAGTCTAAAACTACGTATGCACGGCGACAAATGTACTGAATTATTTTACTCTATATATTTAATATATATATTTATTTATATAGTATTTATCGTATACAGCTATAGGAAAGTATATTGTAATTAGATAGGGGATCCAAATATTTATAGGTTTATTTTTGTAATACTAGGTTTTTTGAATAAATTTTTGTTTTATTATGTTATGTTATGTTATGTTATGTTATTGTGTAAAGAACACCAAGCTACTCAACTTCGTTCTGGGAACGAGGTTTGCAAGCCACTTTGCATATATGCCAGAATTGGTTGGTTCATCCCCTGAGCGTTCATTACATTTTCATTTATTAAAGGGGCGCTTTTAATAGATAGGGGTGTCTATTTGAGATGGACGTTTTATTTATAATTCTTACCAACGACAGATTTTACAATTCTTGAACAACACTTTGTAATTCAATTTCATATCTATTACAATTACATTTTTGCTCAAATGCGTGTTCACACTATTACAAAGTATAAGTAAATAATAAATTCTGCTTTGACCTGGGTGTTCAGATTAGATACGGGGTTGTTTAGTCGAGAGTGGGCGTTAATTGGATCATTTACGGTAGCTTTCCTAATTAAAGAAAAACAGATCTAAAAACTGATCAGAACAAAGATCAGTAGCAGAAGGGTCACTCAGCGGTGCAACATGTCCGTGTTTTTTTATGCAAGAATATGCAGTTTACTGGCCAGAAGGCCGAGCAGCCAGCCAGTACAGCGTGTTTATTGACCAGAAAATGTCATTGACTGGCTAGGAAAATGGCGGCCAACATGCGTAATGCGACATGCGCAAGGACAGAAACTTCAAAGCTTCCGACGTAAGCGGCCCTTCTATATGGATCTTAGTTCTGTGCTCGGGTTAGTAGGCGCAGCACTGAGCTATACTATATTACTGTATTACATATATATGAAACACCGTTGGAACCCCGTTATTGGATCGAGAACTAATCTCTGTGCGGTAATTCCAGTCATGTACGGGTAATCTATTCTGTAACTATAAATCTTATGTAATAGTTTGTGTTATAATAAATGGCAAGATCTGTAAAATAAGAATATCAGTACGATGGTGATCTTGTCACGCCGGGAATCGGCCATCTCCGCCTTTTTCGGGTGTGGTGTCTGCGTCGCGGGCTAGGAATCGGGTGAATTAATTTATTCCCAATTTCGAATATATTACGAAGAAAAAATGGTGGACAAATTTGAAAAGTTTCAAAAATATAGATGAAATTTCTTTAAATTTTGCACGTAGCGTGCAATTTTTTTCGCTTCAAACATGGTAAAGGAACAGTTTAGGGAGACAGACGCTGCCCGGCGAATGTAAGTTTGCAATCGGTTGAATTTGAAACGATTTATTTTGCAAGATATATTGCAGTGGTTGGCTATGGTCAGCCTGGTTGTAGGTTTTCAGAATTCAGAATTGGTTAGCTAGCAAGCACGTGTCGTGCAAATCGCGCTGTTAATTAAGTAATTAGGTAGTAATAACAGACTTAGAATTTTTCCTTTAGTTGTCAATTATTTTTTGTGTTAGTTAATTATTATATTGTTTGATTTGTTTCTATTCTTCCCCCCCCCCCCCGATTAAATGTGGTCAAAATTATGCGAACCGCCTGTCGTGCAAAACATGCCATCTGTCTGTTATATCACTGAGACCATACTGAAAGCAGACTCAGCTGAAAAAGCATAATGGCCAACCCTCGAAATTCAACTATTTTTGCTTCGGCAAATAATTGCCGAAGTCTTTCGATAATTTTCGAGTTTGCCTTGGCAATTTTCTTTGCCGAGGCACACAATGAAATCACCTTAAATGCCTTTGGCAATTACTTTGGCACCCTTCGGCATTCACGTCGGCAATTGTAATTAAAGTATGGAAAATATTGTAAACAAATATTATACCGAGCGTAGATTCAGACGTTTGACAATTTGTTGTTATTTTACAAATTCCTGATTCAAAATGTTTTTAAAAGGTTAGTGGTAATTAACAACAAATAGTATGAAAGAATAAACTTGACGGTAATCACGCGACAGTCTAAAAGATAAAACAAAGTTTCTCGACGTGCCGTCTTTAAACCATCAAGATTGTTCTTTATTTCAGCCGAAGCAGACCGACGCTGAAAAGCTGAAATTTAATAATAAAATTTTGTAAAGTAGCTATGAATGAAATCTTCTGTTGTTCACCCAACGTTGATGACAACAATTCGAACAAAAAAGTGATACAAAAACGAACACTGTAGTTTGTAAATTTAAGCAAAAAAAAAAACGAACAGATGCTGTAGTTTGTAATTTAAGGTACAACGGGTGTAATTGCCTCGGCATTTTTTTGCCGAGGCAAATTATGAAAAATCGTAACTTGCCTCGGCATTTGCGCCGAGTGCCGAGGCGAATTTCGAGGGTTGAATGGCTGACACACCACGATTTGTCCTCAAAATGCACCCGTCGTTTTCTTAGTGAGTGGGCTTACGAGAGGTATTCGCCAACCTGAACTTCTGCCGTTTTGAATATTTTTAGAGAGGGTATTGCCTCTCATAAGCGCACTAGCTAGGAACATATGGCGACAGCATTGCAATGGTTATGCCAAGCTAAATAAATAAATAAATAAAGCTAAGACAACAATTGTGATTATTATTCATATTACTTTTTTAACCGTGTTTATCCTAACCCACCCTGTCAACTTTCCCTGTGGGAGGAAACCGGAGCACCCGGAGAAAACCCACGACTTTCGGCAGAGCGTTGACTGACTCTTTTCACATGAGTCCATGGTGAGAATCGGACCCACAAACTCAGAAGTGAAAGGGACGAAAGGCATTTGCTGTGATGACTATGCCACCAATGAAGCCCCATCTAAAATATGTGCAAGATCTGAATAGACGTGCACACTAAAATTTTGATGGATTATCCATCTGTTTTTGCTGCATTTCTAGAAGCCATCTTGAGTTTGGCATATTCTCGCCATCTCACATGCAACAGAATTCTCAGATCCAGTGCGTCAGTAAGAATCTGTATACGCCAGAAAATGCTAGAAAGCCCGCACTTTTTGGAGTACTTGATCCGCAGCTGGTAAGTTGTAACTCTGTGTTCAACCACCATCTTTTG